AGAAGCACGTACGGCGGGTTGCGACCGAAGCTTAAACCGGCCTTTGTAGAGCTGTGCACTCTCCGTACTGCAAATTGTGTTTCTCAGCCACTAAGCCGAGCGGTGTGGACGATATTAGGAGGTGTTAGCCTGTCATGGCAGTGATTGTTTTCTGCAACTTTGATGGCCGGCCGCTCGATATTCTGTCCCTGCCTTTTAGCTGATTCGTTCTCACCCATCCCAGGCCTGGTCAAGCCGCTGGGTGAATTGAATGTTTCTAGAAGTTTCCTGGATTAAAAAAAAATGAGAAACTTTGCGATCATGATCACGAAGGAGGATGAATGAATGAATGAATGAATGAATGAATGAATGAGTGAGTGAATGAATGAATGAATGAGTGAATGAATGAGTGAATGAATGAGTGAATGAATGAATGAATGGAATAAATGAATGGTTTATTTGATCAAAATGAAATCTAGCTACAGGTGGCAAAGTAAGGAGAATCCACGAATAAAAGATATATAACTACTAAAGTTCCATAACTTCGAACTTAACCTTCGTTTCCACAACCACTACTCGCCTACTAAATATAATCAAAATCCATACACAACTTCTTGAGTTATGCTGTACACATACAAATACAAATACACATACATACAAAGCCCTCTGTCGTACCATAGGAAAACGCTAGGTGAGCCATTTTCAACATTCACCTTCCTTTTCACAACCGCTACTCGCCTACTAAATATCATAAAGATCCATCCACAACTTCTTGAGTTATGCTGTTGACATACAAATACACATACATCCAAAGCCGGCCTCTGTCGTACCACAGGAAAGCGCTAGGTGAGCCATTTTCTAACTTGAGCTTCCTTTTCACAACCGTTACTTGCCTACTAAATATCATAAAGATCCATTCACAACTTCTTGAGTTATGCTGTACATACACAAATACACATACATCCGAAGCCCTCTGTCGTACCACAGGAAAACGCTAGGTGAGCCATTTTCAACATTGACCTTCCTTTTCACAACCGCTACTCGCCTACCAAATGTTATCAAGATCCATCCACAACTTCTTGAGTTATGCTGTGCACATACAAATACACAGACATACAAAGCCCTCTGTCGTATCATAGGACAACGCTAGGTGAGCCATTTTCAACATTGACCTTCCTTTTCACAACCGTTACTCACCTACTAAATATCATAAAGATCCATCCACAGCTTCTCGAGTTTTGTTCTTGACATACATACAGACTCAGACCACAGCCACCCCACCATGGCATAACTGAAAACATAACCTTCTTACAAAGGTGAAGATAGATTCTTTATAGATTCTTTATTGACACAACAAAAAGGAAAAAGGGACTTTTGTATGGTCTTCTGCAACTAAAGATCTAACAAAGTTAAATACATGTATGGATGACTTCATCCTACGTACAGAATATATGTATGTGGCAAATTACATACAGAATATATATCAGTGGTAACAACAAAGGTTTAACTATTCTCTAACATGTAGTCTCTAAGATTGAAACATTCTTAAATGTATTTTCCTATTTGAATACAATATGAGGTTGTCTTTAAAATTTCTTTAAGTGTCCCATGTTTCCTATCGATGCCTCTAGACTCTAGTCCTCCCTTCCCGAGTGTTTTGATGTTAATCTCCATGTGGGAATTCGTGTGTCTGCATACGCCTTTTTTATTACAGTGAATTCACTCGTGGATAATCTAGGGTACAGATAGTCCGTGGCATTATTAAGGCCATGGAATTCCAAAGTGGGTCTACAATGAGAGAGAAGTGACCTGGAGAAATATCGGCAAATTAAAAATAAAGCCCCCGTCACACATTCAGAACCTTCCCCCGAACACCAACCGAACACGGTTGGCTGAAGTTCGGGAACAGTCTGACTCGGTACAATACGAATTGAATCGAATTTGAGTTAGATTTGACTCAAATGTTACTGCTAATGACACCATTTGCAACTTAGTAACTTAGATGTACAAAATAGATTTTCTTCATGATAGTGAATTACGCATATCATTACTAGTACTACTAAAAGCAAAGAACCCACATATTATAGAAGAAGTGGGTAAATTCGTCTTCCATTGCCTAAAAAGAAGAAGTCAAACCCAGTAAAACTAGTACCATGTATGTTGTAGAATATAGTATAATGCTAGACGTAGATATAGTCTCGCATACCACTGTATTTTCTTTCTTATGTTGTTTGTAACTGCAATTAGCGCTCGGGCATGTATTTGCAATAAACTTTCTATATTTATTTATCAAAATATCAAAATCAAACGGTACCTTGTGTAACCCCCTCCCCCTTCCGGCATGATCTTGATTTATCCCCAAACAGGAGATGTCTGTCCTTTTCTCTGGCGCCAGCAAGTTTTTGGCCCGGTGTTTTCTGACTTGGCTACCTCCCAGTGTCTGTTGTGGCTACAACAACCGCCCGTCTCGTGCACTTTAGACAGACTATAATAATAGTAGTTTATAGACAACACTCCTGGTACATGGCAGCGTATAAAAACGCTGAATTACGTACTCAGGATTTAAAAACAGGTTAAACAATAAAGTCGGCTAAACAAACAAAGGACATTGACAAACTAGGTAGAAACATAAACAAATACTAGCTGTACACAGTTATAAATATAGATCAGAGGTATCTACAAATAGATTAAAAACTATAATTGTCCGGTACTGGGAGATTTCAACCTGTTTGTTTATTTAACAAATCAGTAAAATAGGGGATTGGACTCGTTTTGTATCGCTTTGTTTTCGTCAAGGGGATGTCGAGTTGGTTTGCCCCCTTCAGGCATCTGCCATGGATATCTGAGCGGGATGGGGGTAACCAATGTCGGAACGTAGGGGAGTTAAGGAGGGACTTTGCAAACTTAAAACTGGGGGCTTCTCTCTTCTTTTCTCTAGGGACGGCAAACATAATTGGGACAGGGCGATGTTGTAAGACGTGTACAGGGGGCCAAGGATTATCTTTACTGCTCGTTTTTGTATGCGTTCAATTTTTATTACTTGATGTGCAGACTAATTGAGGTTTCAATTTATGTAATATCTTCAATATCCATAAAAGACTACAAACAGTACAAAGGGACCCCGTTCACACTCAAAAAATGAATCGGTGTGATATATAGCCGGGTAGATAGATTCTGAAACGAGTTGATATACACATAATAAACCCTCATATACTTCTTCAACAACCCAACCTGAGAAGCAAGTTTAAACTGTAATTTCCAACACAACAAATTGGACTCACCCAAATTTTCGACTGTACAACTCCAGTCTTTGTCAAGGAATACAAGGAGGCCATCTACATCAGGGCATTACAACCATCCCTCAACAGAGACGGGGGGCGCCACAGACTTTCTGCAACCTATGATCCACCGCTCAAGGAGTCACGTGTGTTATCTGCGTGACGTCGCGGAAGCGGTGGATTGTTCATTCCTTGACAAAGACTGGAGTCGTGCAGTCGAACATTCGGGCGAGTCCAATTTGTTGTGTTGGAAATTACAGTTTAAACTTGCTTCATAATGATTTCTACTAACACAGATGAACTTTCAACCCCCCCTGAGGTTTTCAATGAAATGTTCCTGACACAAAACTCAACCTTGACCTCTATAAGAGAAGCCTAGAGGATTAAAGATATGGTCTGAATTTGACGTCAATATTTTTTTTAGTTCCGGATACAGTCTTATCTCCCAAAACCAGGCGGTAAAAAAGTCCATTGATGCAAGGTAATCGCGACAAATAATAGTTGGAGCGATCCTGTGATAGCGTTAACATAGCCCATATGTCTGCAATGATAGTTTGGGAGACCGACTACAGTCTACCTATTAGTAGTCATAACTGCAGGAGTATTTGTGCACGCATTTCGTGGGATAAAGTTGTCTTTCCTGTATTTTTTTTCAGCCAAATCTTGAGAGTGAAGCTGGGAACTGAACATCTCAACAACGACCTACATTCTACCTATTAGTAGTCATAACTGTATGCAGTGGTATTTGAGTTTGCATTTGATGGGATTATAAGTCGTCTTTCCTATTTTTTTTTTCAGTCGAATCTTGAGAGAGTGAAGCTGTGAACTGAACATCGCACCAACTACCAGAAGTATCTTCACCGACTATTAGTAGTAATAACTGCATGCAGTGGCATTTGAGTTCGCATTTGGTGGGATTGAGTCGTCTTTCCTGTATTTTTAAAGCGAAATCTTGAGAGTGAATCTGTGAACTGAACATCGCACCAACTACCAGCAGTATCTTCTCCGACTACAGTTTATCTATTTGTAGTAATAACTTCATGCAGTGGCATTTGTGCAGGCATTTGATGGGATTGAGTCGTCTTTTCTGTATTGTTTTCAGCCAAATCTTGAGAGAGTGAATCTGTGAACTGAGCATCGCACCAACTACCAGCAGTATCTTCACCGACTATTACTAGTAATAACTGCATGCAGTGGCATTTGAGTTCGCATTTGGTGGGATTATAAGTTGTCTTTCCTGTATTTTTCAGCCAAATCTTGAGAGAGTGAAGCTGTGAACTGAACATCGCACCAACGACCAGAAGTATCTCCACCGACTATTAGTAGTAATAACTGCATGCAGTGGCATTTGAGTTCACATTTGGTGGGATTATAAGTCGTCTTTCCTATTTTTTCAGTCGAATCTTGAGTGAAGCTGTGAACTGAACATCGCAACAACTACCAGAAGTATCTTCACCGACTACAGTCTACCTATTTTAGCAGTAATAACTGCATGCAGTGGTATTTAAGTTCGCATTTGGTGGGATTATAAGTCGTCTTTCCTGTATTTTTTTCAGCCAAATCTTGAGAGTGAAGCTGTGAACTGAACATCGCATCAACTACCAGAAGTATCTTCACCGACTATTAGCAGTAATAACTGCATGCAGTGGCATTTGAGTTCGCATTTGGTGGGATTATAAGTCGTCTTTCCTGTATTTTTCAGCCAAATCTTGAGAGAGTGAAGCTGTGAACTGAAAACATCGCACCACCAACGAACATTGTCGTCATGAGGTGAAAGGTTAGTACAAATCAAGTACGAAGTTTCGCTGTGATCATCTGTTTTACTACTCTCCAAGCAGAGGTTGATGTGGGAAGATCGTTTGCTTTTTATATATGGCCCATTTTTTGTCGCTACCGGCTACCCCCACCGTCGGTGGCCGGCGACCTTCTCTGGCTTATGGATACTGCCTTGCCACCGAAATGGATCTGCTTGGAGATTACTGTTTTAGAGACATTGTCTTCTGTAAAGCACCGTTACCTTTCTGTGAACTTTGATATGGCAGAGAGTCTGAGACGGCCGCCAGACACGCAGGTGATGCAGTTCTGAAACAAATCGCCATGAGTCTCTCCTGTGCGATGTTGAACAATGGACGGCACAGAGTACAAAGCGTCATCGATCCTATGCCCTCATGCGCTCATAGATGCACGTAATGACTATCTGTGGATAAAGGACTGTGTAAGATAAATGCTTTAGTTCAACTCGGAACCGCCGGCCCAATAACCCAAAAGCATCCCGAAAACATTTGTCATCTGGGGTAAGGCAAAGAATGGCGACCGAACCAGAATATAGCCTCTATTGCATTTATGTTCTTCTGGGTTCTCCGCTGGCACATTCCAAATAAATAATCCGTGCCCGCACATTTACGGTCTGATGCGGTCGACGTGACCAGAATTGAAATGAACGCATGGACACGAATATCTGAGTTGGTCTATTTGGTAACTTTTCAATCTCAGAGATAGCTAGTTGCCGTCCTAGATTTCAGTACGGCTATTCTTTGTATCGATTGAGATTCTGGATAGAGACATGCACAACGTAGATTTGTCTGCAGTACTTTTTTTTAACGGAGTGGTTAAATGCAAGGCCTATACGACCACTTCTCGGCATTGAACTAGAAATATGAGAGAAACATGGCTATGTCAAGAGATGGCGGTGAACGTTTGATTTGAAAGCCTGTAGATTGTAGGTAGGTAGGAAACACTTGTCAGGGAGGGAATTCCAAAGCTTGCGATACTGCTTTGAAAACGACTATCTATAAATATACCTTTTTAAAGACTTCTTTAATCATCATTTTCTTCGTACTGTAAGCAGTTATTCATTCTATCCGTAATTTGAACTTTATTCGTCTTTCTTTTTTTTTTTTATTCCAACATTTCATGACCGAACATGGCGACGGCACACTCAAGTTATATCAACTTATTTTATGCCGCCACCAACACAGAGACAGGACAATACTAAGTCGTGTAAAGTGCTTTTCCCAAGGGAACAAGATCGGTGGCATGTCAGGACTCGAACCTGGGACCTCTTGGTTCCGAGTCGAGCACTCTGCCGCTATACGCCACACGACCCCAAACTTTATTCGTCTTTCTTCCCTAGGCCTGTGCAAGAAAAAACCGTAGCAATTGACTTTCAATTCTCGGCGAGACATTCTCATCTTGATGTGGCAACGGTGGCGTTTTCTTAAAACACCCGAGGGTTAGAACAAAAAGACTGGGTTTGTCTCATGATGCATGATGAATGTTGTAAAGCCTCTCTAGATCATGGCATGGATTTTCCAATGTCTGTCTGTGCATGTTTGCAGTAAAATCAATGAGAAAGTCAATGTTGTGTGCGAAGATTTACCGCCAAGTCTTCGCGCTTTATTGCTTCTCTCTCTGTGTGCTATTTTTTTTTACTTCCGGGTATGGAAGTATTGTTTTGGGTGGCTGGGCTGCGGGTTTGTGTGTCTGTGTGTCCGAACAGAGTAGGTTGACTGTACGTAAAGTTAGTCAATATTGTGTGCAAAAATTTATCGCCAAGTCTTCGCGCTTTATTGCTTCTCTGTGTGCTTTTTTTTCACTTCCGGGTATGGAAGTATTGTTTCGGGTGGCTTGGCTGCGGGTTTGTTTGTCTGTGTGTCCGGATAGAGTAGGTTGGCTGTATGTAAAGTTAGTCAATATTGTGTGCAAAAATTTATCGCCAAGTCTTCGCGCTTTATTGCTTCTCTCTGCTATTTTTTTTTAACTTCCGGGTATGGAAGTATTGTTTTGGGTGGCTGGGCTGCGGGTTTGTGTGTCTGTGTGTCCGGATAGAGTAGGTTGACTGTACGTAAAGTTAGTCAATGTTGTGTGCAAAGATTTACCGCCAAGTCTTCGCGCTTTATTGCTTCTCTGTGTGCTATTGTTTTTTTACTTCCGGGTATGGAAGTATTGTTTTGGGTAGCTGGGCTGCGGGTTTGTGTGTCTGTGTGTCCGGACAGAGTAGGCTGACTGTACGTGGGTGGGGAGGATTGACAGTCAGAATTACAGGAGGACATTAAACAGCTAGAACTAAGTTATTCGTGTTTCGTTAGTATCAGACTTTGAATAAGTCTCATTAAAAGCTAGTGATGCAGAGCTCATTTCATACAATCTTTAACAAACTCGAAAGGATATTTGTACGGCAGGGGGGATGATGCAAGAGTTCATTATTTCCCGTTGGAAACTACATCCTTACATGTAGAAGGAGTACACTAGTATAGGCCATGTTGATTTGATTATATGGATGACCTATACTCTAGCGTAACATCTATTTTCAACCCTACACTAAAATTCACTACAAATATCATATGCGGATGCTGCTTAGTCAAATATTTGACCTTAAATGACCTGAAGTCAAACTTGACTTTGCCCTTCATGACCCACCATACCCCCTTTGATAATAACAACTGATATTTTACGTTCTTACATAATGTATAGACTTGGCAATACGTTGGGTTTACTGCAGGGGATCCATATCTCAATATCATCAAGTCAAATCTCAGAAGTCATTTCATAATGTATATTTCCGCTCTTGGGAAATACTAGTGATCTAGTGCACTTGTAAAATAGGCAGTGCTAGAAGAGGAAATATAGGAACTTTTCCTCTGGAGAGAAAGGCCGTTTACGCTTCAATTTTGAATCAGTAGTTAAGCTTTAAGCTTCGGCTTATTGTTGACGTGTTTTAGGACGTTTCAAAGTATCGGGCTGTCGTTTTTGTATAGGTAACTCCAGACCGACCCACGAATGTTTTTAACATTTCGTAAAACTGTAAAACATTACAGTACACGAACCGACCTTACTCCCGACCTACTCCCAACCATAGTTGGGGGGAGTTTGGCTAGTGTTCGGGAGGCCATATTTGCCTAGGCCATGTTTATTTGATTATATGGATGACATCCTATGGGAACCTCAAAACTGATGCGAGCGTGCGAATAAAAAAAAGTGTTGCAAAAAAGAATTGCTTTCATCATGAAACCTACGTGGTTTTGGAGGTTGAACAAATGACACAGAGTATGGTGTGGCGAATAATCTACTCTTCAAATTCATTTCTTTACATTTTCGTGTTTTTTTTCGTTTGATTTTGGCATTCTACGACATTGGTATCGTTTTCCAATGTTTTTTTTTAACTTACGGTATTTATTTACTCATTTTTTAACTGTTTTATACGATTTACAGTATGGTTGAAAACTTTTTTTTGGAAACAGCCGAAAATTCATACGCGCGCGGATGTCATCCATATAATTAAATCAACTGAGATACCTTTATTGTACATCCATGCCACGACGGGCTAGGTACAGGTCTAGACCTAACAGACACATAACAAACGTATATAGAAAAGTGGAGACAAAAGATACACTACTTGACTTAGACATACATACATAAGGAACATACAAGGGTACTACATGTTTATACTAGGCTAATACAAAGTGTTCTAGTTACTGAGCTCATACAGAGTGGTGAACTTCTTCTCGCTTTTTTGTACAATGGAAAATGTGGGAGCAGATCATGTTTGTGATACATGGTTTGTCTAGACGCATCAAAAATATAAATCTATCATTTGCACTTAGGTGTTCAAAGTATGGGAACTTCTCTTTGATATGATTAAAAAGGACAGATCTTTCATTAGAATATAAAGAACAGTCTGAAATAAAGTGTTGTTCATCTTCTATTCCATTCATGTTAGGCCACACCGACTTAATTTTATGGATGACAATTTAAAAAAATCCGGCCAAAAATAAAAATGGTACCAAACCACAGGAATACAAAGCTGGTATTGTGAAGCAGTATTGCGGCAGTACATAGCGATGGATACGACAAGCCAGCACATGCTGGCTTTTAGCGGAATTTATGAATCGGCACTGTACGTATTACTGAGTTCTTGGGTCGTGGAGCCTCGGTAGCCTGGGTGCCCGGCTCCGTATTGTCGCTAACTACCATGGACTACCCAGGCCTAGAGCCAAGACAGAGCCTCGGTGGACGTGGTCTTTTTTTTTTGGTTCTTTTTTTTTTTTGGAGAACAGGCGAAAATCAATGCGCGCACGGATGTCATCCATAAAATTAAGTCTGTGTGGCCTTACAGTATTGACAGAGATAGGCCTTACATCCATACATGAGTAATTATCACTCCGTACCAGTAGTGCGGTCGTCAGTAGGCGTATGTACCCTTAGGCAGTTATCGGTGAACAGAGGCACGCACAGGCAACAATATTACATCCCTTAAATCATACAGCACGTCATCTGACAGAAATGGGACAAATCGTCCATGGGCCGAGACCGTTTTTTGTACCACCAATACGGACCAGTGCTACCATAGATTTTTTGAATCTGCAATAACCAATGAGTTTTTACACCAAAAATTACCCTCAAAATCGTAGTTTAAAGGCGATGATGAAAATGTTCTAAAATGGCAGTAAATGTCAGTAACAGACAAATATTATTTTTGAAATTGCTCTGAAACTGCAAACGAATGCATTTAATGTCAAAACATTTCTGACAGTCACCAAACGCTTTCATAATGGCTAGACCCTGCCTACAATACAAAACAAGCAACCGACATCGCATATTTTGCCTCACAGATATCTATATGCTATGGGATAAAATTGATTCAACTTGAAATGACTAGAAAATTGACTTTGAAAACTCAGCTTTGACGTACTGAAATTGTATTATATGCTTAAGCCTTTATGCCTTCAAAGATATTGTGACACATATAATAAATCATATTCCTTTGACAAGATGTCG